GCTTTTCTCCGCCACCTGCCGGGAATCGCCTACGGCGGCGGGCCACCTCCAAATCCGCCCAAATCTTCACCAAACAATCTTCGTCCCCTCTTCTTTCAAAGCCCCCTAATCTCGTCTCTCAAATCCCCATACATTTTCCCCATTTTAAGATATGAGTTTTCTCAGAAAGAGTAATTCGCCTTTCTTCGATTTTCCTCTAGTTCGGGTTTGTTGATTTCAAAATCGATATCACTTGACTGTTTTTGTCAAGAGCAGTCGATTGATGATGATTTCGAATTAACCGCATGGCCAGCGGAGTTTCGGCCAAACTTCACTGATTCCCTTGCCGTCCAATTTCGGGCTCCAAGATGGTATTCTTCTCCTCTTCTTCTTTAGTTTTTATTAGTTAGTCAACTGATGATTCACCTAATTAGTTTAGTCAAGTAATCAGTAATTTTCATGTGTTTTCATAATAATTAGATTTTCAAATGTTAACATGATCAAAATAGAAGCTATATGCCTGATAATTAGTTTAGTCGAGTTTTTAAGCTTGTTTTAACTTTTACAGTAATAATTTGTTTAGTGGCTCAAGTTGAATTTGAAAATTAGCTGTTTGTCAACCTTGTGTCCTAGTTTGGTATGGTTTGTGATGGTTTGGTACTTTTGGTCAATATAGTTTGAGGCCTAGGCACTTTGGGTCTAGTCATTGGTAAAAACAGGGAGATGAAGGGGTAATTGGGGAATTTAGCTTGGGGGAATATATTCTGTAACTGATTTAGAAGTTTATAGAAGAGAATAGAAAAGGACTATTTAGCAATAAAGAAAAGAAAGAGGTAGGGGCTGGGACCTTGGGGAGTAAATTACAGAAATTAGGAGGGGTAAAAGAAAAGAGGAATAATCGAAAGATGCTATATATATATATATATATATAACAGGGACATTACCCGCTGATGTGGCATGCCTAATTGATCAGCAATTGCCTTTATTTTTTTTCTCCGTTTTTTGAGTTTTCTCTTCTTTTTTCTCATTTACCTTATTCAATGGAGTAATAAATTTCTTCTTTTATAATTTACCGATTAATTTAATTGAGAAACCCAACCGTTTCATTCTTCCTTCATTGGTAGTAATAGCCATTAATTTCTACCAAAACCCTTTCTTCTTCCTCTTTGATGACAACAATTTCAAACGCTAATATCTCATTTTTCTCTCCATGGATAAAAAGAGAGTTCCACTTTTCCTCCATCATCCATGAAGACGGGTACCTTTTTCTTTTTAATTCGATAAAAAATTCTTGCTTCAAATCTGATAGTCTTCACTTTTTGCTCTTTTGATTTATTTATTTTAATAGGAAAACCGATCTTGGCCTGTGTTATCAATACATGCTGTCACAAAAATTTCAAGCTTTCTTGCAGGTTCAATCACAAATTAGAAGAGAAGCATTTTTTTTCCAGTATTTGTAGCAAAAGATCAACCATTGTTATCATTCGTTGGTCTTATATTTAATTCCTTTTTCCTAAACCGTTGTTTATATGCTTTTTGGAGACGGACTTATGTATCGTCCTTTCAGCGGACTTCACAAATCGTGCTTATGGCGCCGGAAGAAGAGAAGACGATTCGCCGTTCTCCTCTTGATTTTCCCATTGTGAGGTTCGGAACACATTAATTTTGGTTAAGTTATTTAACTTTACTTGCAGTTGTGTTCTTCTACCAACAAATTGCAAAGAAATTGCAACGATTTTTCTTTTTTGGAGATAATAGCAGCTATTCGGAGTTGCCGTTTACTTTGCGCTAAGAGTAAAACCTAAATGTAGAAGACAAAAAGATAATTTGTTTAATCTAGACATAGTTTTTGGTTATATTAGTGTGAGTGATTGTTGTTGTTTGAATGATTAAAATCGTGCTAATGTCCTCAAACTGCCATATCCCACCATAATATAGAATTATTCACAATTACAATTTGGTTTATTTTCAATCTTCTTTTTTATCTTTTTTCCCCTAAAGGACACTCCATTTTAATCCTCACATAAATACAGTTATAATTCTAATATTTAATTCCTTTTTCCTATTTAATAACCTTGCATAAGCTTCAGGTTACGAAATAAATTCTCATTTTGTGATTTTACCAATTCACAGCTTTCACCGTCTGTCAGTTTTAGTGGGAATCAGACTATGCCAAAGACGCAATTACTCTGCCTGCAAGTTACAGTAGTACTGGACCTGCATCATATCCCCTCACCTGTTAGCGATGTTGGTTATGGTGGAAATTTTTGATCTGATGTCCGTGGTGGTGGTCAGGGTAGCCCAGCAACTCAAATATGCCTCATGTTACCGTTGAAGAACTCCAAGAACTTTTTGGAAGCATTGGACAAGTAATATGAAATTTTTTTTGGTTATGATTATTGTTTTAGAGTTATTTTTCCATTAGCAAATCATTGTTTTTCTTTAATTCACAACTCCATGATGTTCAATGTGATATTGCTACTTGGAGGATGAAGATAACATGTATCTTTTAATGATAATATAAATATTGCATGAATTCAACCCGGCGAATCGGTGCACAGTTTGGTGTGATGAATGTTAATTTAAGTTTACTCTTCTGTAGTCCTGCTTGAGGTTAGTTTCAGCTAGGATAGAAAGATTTAGTGGTCAAAGTTGGAAGCTGATGAAGGATGATTTTGGCTCGGTTAATGGAGTTTTAATGGAACTGTGTTAAAGATCTTAGTTATATTTTTGTTCGAAAACAGTAATTCTAATATGAAACTTTTAGCTTTAGTGTCGCATCAAGAGAAAATAATCATGACTGTGTATGAGGAATTGTCTCCAACTTCCGGAAACAATAGCCTCAATTAGAATAAATGCTCAAACTATTTTTAATACTTATTAAGTTGCATTAAATCAAGTTAGACCAAATGTTCCAACTCATTCTTCTTCTAATTCTCAATCATCTAAAAGAACTGCGGGAGTAAGAGCACTTAATGCTTGGGTGGGATTTAGGGGTTCTCAAGGTTCTAGTAGTAGTGATTTTTCACAACTAAATGAGTTTGAATTTTATTTGTCGCAGGGAATTGAGGAAGTGAATCCCGACGGTTCCTTTAATCTTTTGGAATGGT